GCTGTACATCGGGGCTCCAGGAACTCCCCATTCCTCACTTTCGCACACTATGCCCAATTGCGTATACGTGAGCTCGTAGAGTTTCGGAAGAGCTGAGAAGAACAGGCTGATACCCGCTTTCCTTGTCGCTCTTGCATCACTGACGTCGCTTACATTTCTCGAAAGCAGGCCTGGCATCACCACCCGTTCGAATCATCAGTAAACAACAAAAGCCATCCTGACTGACAGCCTTTACATTTCTCAAAACGAGACCTGGGCGCTTTTTGAAGATTCGTTGACTTTCCACACCAAGCGATCATGCGCTATACAGAGTGTCCCGTAAATAGTGTAAGAACCGGAAATCGGAGGTAGGTGAGACGATTCTGAACAACAATTTCCTTTGCAAAAATGTCGGATGGAGCTTCGTTTTTGAATTATTAACGAAAAACACTGACCAATCACGTCCCTCGCCTTCCGCGCGCTCAGGGCCGTCCGACCTCGGAGAGCCACCGCGCCGGGTAGGTAGCAAGATGCGCGTTGAACATACATCGAGGAACGAATACAAATAATTAAAAGTACTACCACTACAACTGTTACCTAATTCGTTAATTATTAGGTAATTAGTACGTAAATTACTAAATGGAATTTATTAATTATTTGTATTTGCTGTTTCCGAGAAAGAAGGAACAAAATCTCGGTATTTTTAGGAAATTGACCCTTCGCAACCGAGTGACGCTTCTCGGCAGAGTGTTTTAAAATTAAAATAAAAATTATTATCAGAAAATTAAAATAAATACGGTAAGAACCATTTGTAACCGTTTGTTATTAAAAACTGTACTGAAAAAGCAGACTGGATTTCTGCGTACCGAAACATTCCTCGAATGCAAAGGGTTAATAGAGAAATAATTGAAATTCGACTTACCCATTTATCTGCAAATTGACCTACTGCGCTGACAATAGAGCCCGGCCAATGCACCGCTGTCGGTCACAGCAAGGTCAAAAACCCCAACGAAAATCAGCTGATGGGACGGCCCGATCGCTGTACCTGCTTCTCACCCCGAAAAAACTTCACGCACGGTCATTAACACTTTTCACTTTCACATACCGATGTGTTCCGTTGCATCCTACTTCGATTGTTGCTCCTTCCTGGGTTGATAACGGTGCCTGGATGTTGCTCCCTCCTGAATTGTTACTCCTTCCTGAATGGTAGTTGCTCCCTGAATTGTTGCTCCTTCCTGGATTGTTGCTTCTTCGAACCTTGCTCCCTTCAGAATTGTTGTTCCTTTTCGCTGGGATAATGGGCGCGATACGTGCGGGCGGCTTTCTTCGCGTTCCCCTTGGTGTCCGCGAAAACGAAGAACGAACGATAATCCTCTGCGTTTACGCGTTCCATCGCGTGCGTTCGCTTCTGTTCAGAAACGCGTAGGTTCTGTGAAAAATTTTGACTGACAAATTGCATTTCCCTCCCCGAAAAAATTTCAGGTAGGGCAACCTATTTTCGCGCGATTCGGAGTTACCTGCGATCGACGAACGTGCAGACCATGTTTGCCGCAAATGTTTGCTGCTAAACCGTACGGTCGGCTTTTCTAATACAATTTTTAAGATTCACCGTGAATATTTTTCCATGGAAAATTTGTTATAAAAAAGAAAGAAGAATATACCATGAAAAATTAAATAAAATAAAAAGGTTTTATTTATAAAAAATAATCCACGAGGAAGGAGTCAATTACATAATAGATAATATGCGATAATAAATAATATTGGAGCAACAAAAAACAAAAATATTTAAAAAGAATATTAAATAATATTTTTTCTAGTTCTTATTTCTCAAATGAAAATTCCAAGAAGATATATTTTTTAATATTTGTGTTAAATATTTTTGTTGTACAATTAAATATGTTATCCATGAAAAAATATTCACGGTGAATCTTAAAAATTGTATTAGAAAAGCCGACCGTACGGTTTAGCAGCAAACATTTGCGGCAAACATGGTCTGCACGTTCGTCGATCGCAGGTAACTCCGAATCGCGCGAAAATAGGTTGCCCTACCTGAAATTTTTTCGGGGAGGGAAATGCAATTTGTCAGTCAAAATTTTTCACAGAACCTACGCGTTTCTGAACAGAAGCGAACGCACGCGATGGAACGCGTAAACGCAGAGGATTATCGTTCGTTCTTCGTTTTCGCGGACACCAAGGGGAACGCGAAGAAAGCCGCCCGCACGTATCGCGCCCATTATCCCAGCGAAAAGGAACAACAATTCTGAAGGGAGCAAGGTTCGAAGAAGCAACAATCCAGGAAGGAGCAACAATTCAGGGAGCAACTACCATTCAGGAAGGAGTAACAATTCAGGAGGGAGCAACATCCAGGCACCGTTATCAACCCAGGAAGGAGCAACAATCGAAGTAGGATGCAACGGAACACATCGGTATGTGAAAGTGAAAAGTGTTAATGACCGTGCGTGAAGTTTTTTCGGGGTGAGAAGCAGGTACAGCGATCGGGCCGTCCCATCAGCTGATTTTCGTTGGGGTTTTTGACCTTGCTGTGACCGACAGCGGTGCATTGGCCGGGCTCTATTGTCAGCGCAGTAGGTCAATTTGCAGATAAATGGGTAAGTCGAATTTCAATTATTTCTCTATTAACCCTTTGCATTCGAGGAATGTTTCGGTACGCAGAAATCCAGTCTGCTTTTTCAGTACAGTTTTTAATAACAAACGGTTACAAATGGTTCTTACCGTATTTATTTTAATTTTCTGATAATAATTTTTATTTTAATTTTAAAACACTCTGCCGAGAAGCGTCACTCGGTTGCGAAGGGTCAATTTCCTAAAAATACCGAGATTTTGTTCCTTCTTTCTCGGAAACAGCAAATACAAATAATTAATAAATTCCATTTAGTAATTTACGTACTAATTACCTAATAATTAACGAATTAGGTAACAGTTGTAGTGGTAGTACTTTTAATTATTTGTATTCGTTCCTCGATGTATGTTCAACGCGCATCTTGCTACCTACCCGGCGCGGTGGCTCTCCGAGGTCGGACGGCCCTGAGCGCGCGGAAGGCGAGGGACGTGATTGGTCAGTGTTTTTCGTTAATAATTCAAAAACGAAGCTCCATCCGACATTTTTGCAAAGGAAATTGTTGTTCAGAATCGTCTCACCTACCCCCCATTTCCGGTTCTTACACTATTTACGGGACACCCTGTATGTATAAGAAAAAGTTGTTCAAAATATTGATTTCTACAACATATTCAACAATCATCGAAATCGGTGAGACCCGGCCTTTTCTAAATAATTACCCTGGATGGTACTTTTCGTAAAAACAGTCAAAACATAAAAATTTCAAGCACCACGTACATCTACTGAAAGTTCTGTTTTCACAGAAATTACAAAATTTTGTATTTAACTCTGATGGAAAGGTCGCTTCATTTATATTGATAAAATGTGAACAATTTTTGGATAGTCGTACCTTGTATATGCCTCGTATTTTTTACCTTATACTTCAGGTAAAAAGGGATATAACTGGGTAAAACAGTTTTACGACATTACCTGCTACCTCATGTTACTGTTTTAAAATGAAACGCTATGTTTTGTACCTTGAAAAATATTCGACTATGTCCTTTTAAAATTTTAAATCCAACCTATACTTTGTATTAAACTGGCAAATGGGATCTCTTTTCCTTTGTTTCTAAACGGTTTGATGGTGGGAATCTCGTGACTCCTGAAATCGTGAAATATATTTTTTTGGATATTGCCAACTGACAGTTTGATCTATCTCGCGCTACTCCTTTTTTAAGTTACTTGCTAGTAGTATTTTATTTTTTGCTTGCTGTATATGTATATGCGCGAAGACAGTTCGCGCGGAAATGCTTGTCCGCACTTAATTTTAGAACAATCCTCTTCCACGCACTCTTTCTTTTGGAAATGTAAACAGTTGTATAACACTTTTGTTCCTATATCTCGTATGTACATTAATCAAAATTGATGTATCTACGAGCTCTTTTTCATTACATTAATTTAGTTTAGTTTCCCTCCTGATGAAAGAGACCACCACCTTCCCGTGGTTTCCATTGAGCGGTATCGTGCACGTTATTAATTTTGATGGATCGATACAATTATTTTTTTATGCAAAGGTAAGCCAAATCAACCATATAATATTTAGTTCATCATAACAAATTGATACGGTTATCTCAAAACATATCGAGGAAAATCATTGTTAATTCATTTCCGCAACTATTAATTCTACTGTTCTGTTTATGTTATAAAAATAAGAACTCTTCTTATTGAAAAATGCCACAGCGTATACGATACTGGCAGAGTGGAGTCTCATTTTGATTTATTAATTTTTAATCTTAAAGTATTTTGATTTTGAAAAATCGTATTAATAATATATGTACATATGTACGCTCATACATGGGAATAATACAAAAAATTTCTTTTTTTTCAATAATTAAAATATGATCAGGGGGTCTTAAAACGTGTATTTCCGTAAAATAAATTTTACACAATTTTTTTTTCATTATGGGTACTTTGCTTATTTGCGCATACATAGGTCGGAAAGTAAAAATGCCTAGGCAGTCGAGAATCTCGGTTCGAGAATCAAAATCGTATGCCGTTGACGGGAGGTCGGATTTCAGTTAAGAGCGAGAAGGCAAATGTGAGCCTTTCTCTCTCGACTCCCACGAGGCGGTCCGAAATTACTTCGGGCTGCTTCGGAGAATCGAGAAAGAGGGCATGCATCAATTTGCCTTTATCGACTTTCCGAAACTCCACGAGCTCACGTACGCGTATCTGGCATGTGTGCGTGTGCACCCAGCGGTGCTTTTCTGGCATCTCTGTCTGGCACCTCTGGTCAGACTCCGTCGGACTCCGTCGGACTCGAAACTGTATGCCGGACCGGCATTGCCAGTTGATGCAAATCGTATTTCTGCTGTTTGAGAGTGAGGAGGAAAAGCCTTACGTTCGTCTTCTTTCTCGAATCGAGTTTATGTACGCGTGGCTGTGCATTAGTGTACGTAAGTGTGGGACAGTTCCTTTGGGTACCGGTTTGCCGTCTGGTAACACTGCTTACACTGCAGCGTATTGTATTCCCCTCAAATGACAAGATTTATAGACACGTGTATAGGTACATCTGTTTGAAATTGAATCTTTTTATCAATGTTTTTATTACGTATATATTTATGTTTATATTTACAATTACATGTCTGTCCACTAGAGAAAGTATATTAACAAAAATGTATAAGTGTGTTTTATTTAAACGTTAAACGCCTTGTTTTAAATTTGGTATTAATTCATTAAAGTAGATGTAATACAGTCCTTCATTTAACTCGTATATCTTTATATGCAGTAACAAACGAACGTACTTAACCAATAAACGTACATGTGGGTAATCCGCAACACAAATATACACGAATCGAAAGTTTATTTATTTTGTAATAAAAAAAGTAGGTGATATCTTACAATTAAAAACAACTATTTGAAATACGAACATACGAGTTTCACCTAACAGGGGCTGAAGTACTGAAGTGAACCTCGGCAGTAGAAACTTCAACACTCGGCAGTTTCAGGGAACGTTGTTATACAGTAGAGACGGATGAAGGGAAGTAACTTCCTGAAAATCATTAGCTTGGTCAAACAAGTGGTCATAAGCCGGCACATAAGTTTGACAACAATGGCTAAGAGTAAATTTGAATATGTAAAGGAATTTGAACGTGACGATTGTTGTTTACCAAATTGTTGGATTGTGGTTAGAATAGACGGAAGAAATTTTTCAAAGTTTTGCGATGCACATCAATTTACAAAGCCAAATGATGTAGCTGCCTTGGAATTGATGAATCGAGCAGCTATTACGGTTATGGAAGATTTTAAAGAAATCATTTTAGGCTTTGGTCAAAGTGACGAATATTCTTTTGTTTTTCGGAAAGACACGCAACTTTACAAGAGAAGAGGTATGCATTTAGAGTAGTAGATTACAACGCGTTACACTTTGAATGACTAATAAACAATAGTGAATTAAAAAATACGTAAATTGATGTAAAATATATAATTTTAATATATTACATAATGTTGTATTTTGTAGTTTTTGAAGTTACATCATTTACAACATTAGTTTTATGTTTCAGCTTCAAAGTTGATGTCAAACGTAAATTCTCTGTTTGCATCATCGTACGTTTATCATTGGCCTTGTTTTTTTCGTGGCAAAGAATTATATTATCCACCTTCTTTCGATGCCCGTGTTGTATTATATCCAACAGATAAAAATTTAAGAGATTACTTAGCATGGCGTCAGGCAGATGTTCATGTGAATAATTTGTACAATACTTGTTTTTGGAATCTTATATTAAAAGCAAAACTTACTCCGAGTCAGGTAAAATATTTTAATTTTTATATAGTATATTTATTTTTACATACTATATATTTATATTAAAATTGTTATTAGATTGCTTTAAATTAATAATTAAAATAAGTATCAGGATGTAAGTTATGTGCTACAACAAAGTGTTTACTGTTTTTGTTTACTTGTTTTATTTAATTTACAGGCAGAAGAAAAACTTAGAGGGACATTGGCATCTCATAAGAATGAATTACTTTTTCAAGAATTTGGTATAAATTATAATAACGAACCTCCACTTTTCCGAAAAGGTACTACCCTCATAAGGAAATTAGTACCTGATGGAATAGGTAGACTAAAGCCAGCAGTGGTTCCACTGGTCGATGACATTATCGCAGATCGATTTTGGAAAGAAAATCCAGAAGTAATTGGATTAAAAAGTCTAGCAACTTATCAACCTCCAAACCTTGTTAACAATGCTATTAAAAATACAATGCCAACAACGACACCGCCATCGCCAACTACTAACATAAAACATATTAATAATGCTCCGCCATCTTCAGTTGCTAATGTGAACTCTATGAACGAAGAAGTGCATCCTGCAAGAAGTAGAGAATCAGATGGAGAAAGAATGCAGTGTGAAAGTGAACGAATTTGTAGAAGATAAACAGTGTTTTATTTTTGTATAATAATTTGAAAAATATCCTAACGGAAAATAACGAAAGTTTATTTTCGGTGACTTTGAAATTATTATAATTTTATTTTACCTACAGCAGTGGTACTGTAAAATATTAATTGTCGGTTCAAGAATTACAAAGTTCATAATTAGTAATTATTATATTTCTTATTATTTTATAAGCCTTTAGCTTGAAATTAATTTTTATTCTATTACTTTAATAAGAATGATATTTTCATAAAATAAATCGCGCATGAGTGAGAATGTGTGCGTGCATGTGTGTGTGTGTGTGCGTGCGTGCGTATGTACATGTATGTATAATTATAAAAAATATTTTACAGAAAGAGATACATATAGATATATTTGACAACTATTTTTCGTTAGGATTTTATACTTTAAAACTCAATCAATTTCGACATTGTATTTTCTAATAGTAAGAAATTACATCGAATAATATTAAATTATTTATGAATTTAAAGGCTGCTCTAGAGTAAATATATTAAGGTTTTTATAAAGAATCTTATTCGTAAGCATAAGCAGTATATATTGTAAATGCTATATTTCATATGTTACAAACATTCATACACATCTTTTAGTTGAAAAACTAAATTATTTTGAATTAATTTAGGTTATAACATTTTTTTAATTTTACATGTATGTGTTTATATATTTAATAATAATTAATTAATTCGATTACTATGACATGTATAAATGAAATAATTCATTCGCCTCATTATTTAAAAAAGAAACTATTTTTAATTTACCAACTTTTTTAACTATTGCAAGTATTTTTTAGACCTTTATATATTTGTTAGTGTGTAACACATGAATTTAACTAGTAAATCAATTGATTGAGTTTATTCATCGAACTATGTCACCATTTAGACGTACGTTCAAATTAAAGATTAATTGAACAACTTTAATTATGTAATATGTATACGCACGTAATAGAAATTTTTAATTTGTTCTTACAGGAACATGATTAAAAAAATGAATTAAATTTAGTAATTTAATATGACATCATCTGAATTGAATTTTTCAAACATATGGAATGTATTATATATTGTTTTATATTACATTAGAATCAATAATTACAACGTCGGGTAATACAAGACACAACAAATATACTAGACTACAATAAAATACATTATATACATCGATATAATATAAACTCTTGTTATATATGATAGTAACAGTGCTAAATAATAATTTTTAATACCATCCTTTCAATTTGGCTAGAGATACAGTTGCCTTTTCGTTTTAATTATGCGTTAAATAATTATTAATAATATTTTGTATTTATTTGGCAGTTTCACCTTTTTGACAATAAGAAATATTGTAGAACTATTAATTATTCATAATTGAAAAATAAAAATACAGAGAAACAATCACTTTCCTGTGTGATATTGTTGCTTAGCCAGACATAAACAATCAATGAAACAGAACATTAGAAGGCATTAAAAGATTGGAATGTAATTATCTATTTTAGCACGATGTTTTTGTGCTACACATTCTGCTATCCATACGATGTTGCGACATTCTTGTTCCTTTAACTTAAGATAACTATAGAATACTCCAAAATGAAATTGTTGGAGAAAAGCATGAACGTTTAAACGAACCTATAAATATAAGACTAAAATTAATAATCTCTAATATTTATTATTCAGTATTAATTTTTTATAGTGATATTAAATTTACCTCGTGTTCAAAGAATTTATCTTCTAAAGTCTTATCACCAGGGTTGTTACCCGCACCTTCAAATAAAGCACTGTATTCCTGCAAAAACAATGTAAATTTGTATAGATGTACGTATGTATGATAATTATGAGACATCGATGCTTTAAAGAAATATAAACAAAAGTTTCTAAAATATATACATACAGCATAATACTCTGCTACAGCTTTAACCTGTTCATAATCATCGGCTCTTGCCAATGCTGCTAATCCATCAGGATTCAATTTACCACAACGTGGATATAATTTTGCTCTATCATCTTTTCCTAACTCTGTTCCAAACGAGTTGATAGTTATGATAATTGCTCGCCTATCTGCTTCAAACTATGAAAATAAATTACACTTAACATGTAATTTTTTATATTATTAAATACTTTTCTTAATTGTATCAAATTTTATACCGCAAGTATTTCACACATAGTATCTGCAGTCGTCCCGCCAATGTCTTTACAGAATTTGTAAAAAGCTTCCAAGTAAGCTTTATATAAGGTATTCCTGATTATTTCAATGTTCATTTCATCTAAATCCTGTTCAGAAATGCAATCCACAAAGAAAGGTGCTGCAATAAGATATTTCTTAATGTTTAATTACAATATCATAAAATGATGCAAAATATATCACTGTAATTGTTTTGAAGGTCCATCCTCCTTTGAGCCAGATCTTGGGTTTTTTGGTTACATAGCGAATAATTCTTTGAACTCAGCACATTAAAACCATTATTACTCATCAAATATTGTACTGCTCAGTGAATCCAACAGTGTATTAGTGCACAAGTGAATTTATAGATCAAACTCTGTGTCCTATTCAGTGTGTTCAAGTGCACGGGTGTGTTAGTTTCGGTTTATCCAATTCAGAACACATGCGCAAATCAACGTTTGAATCACCATGTCTGAAGATGGCAGCAAGCAAAGCGTAACTGATGGTAATATTAAAGAAGTGACTAATGGCGTCACATTGAATGTACCGCCTTCATTAACATCTCATTGATCATCAAGATCATCATCACCACAGTCTACGATTGCAGTTGAATTTATCATTACAAGCTATCTGTTTGACTAACATCTCAAACATTTTTTGGTTTTGGAGGACGGACCATGTTTATGGATCATACCTAAAGGAGTATCCACCAAGACTGCACTATAAAGTTCAGCGGGTGTAGCTGCTACATGAATGGCTTCCATTTGTTCAAAACTGCCAAGAGGATGACATTTAGGAATCAATTCTGAAATTGGTCTTTGATGTAAAGTACCAGTGATCAATAAAATGATATTATCGATCATGTAACTATATGTGATAAAATCCAAAAATTGAGATAAAGGCTCAACAGAATGATTACGCATATGTTGAAATTCTACCACAAGTTTTTCCCTTAGTTTGTCATCGATTACACTGACAGAGAGCGGTGATGGTTCATTAGCCAAGAAACTACCATAATCTGTACCTGCTAAATGCAGTTTTAAATCTGCACAAATGGCAAATAATTAATAACAAGTATATCAGTATTAACCGAAGAATGAGCTAGTCGCTAAATACGCAGTAACTACACACATATATAAACATTAAAAGTAATATATAATTGTCGCGTGAAATTTACCTTCGAGTGTTTCACACTGTACGAGATTAAGATAATCATTATGTTGAAGAATTCCACATTTAAATCCACGACAAAGACCCTCCAAATATCCTCCGTCAATATTGAACATGCAACCCTTCATTTTGGAGGACCGTTTACTATAATTTAACAACTATACACCACTTGGAACACGAATCCGTCAAAATCGAAGTCGGGCTCGCCCTTTTCCGTGACGATCATATGACTATTCGTCGAGAAGTTTACTACAAACTACGAAATCTGGATTACTACCAGATGGCAGCAGAGATGTCAGAAGTGCACCGAAGGCACTTTCTCATACTATGCCAGATCACGCGTACGTAAGCTCGTGGAGTTTCGGAAAGTCGACAAAGGCAAATTGATCCATGCCCTCTTTCTCGATTCTCCGGAGCTGCCCGAAGTAATTTCGGACCGCCTCGTGGGTGTCGAGAGAGAAAGGCTCACATTTGCTTTCTCGCTCTTGAACAACTGAGATCCGACCTCCCGTCAACGGCATACGATTTGGAATCTTGAGTCGAGATTCTCGACTGCCCAGGCATTTTTACTTTCCGACCTATCTAGGCGCACATAAGCAAAGTACCCATAATGAAAAAAATATTGTGAAATTTTTGTTACGAAAATACACATTTTAAGACCTCTTGATCATATTTTAATTATTGAAAAAAAAGAAATTTTTTGTATTATTCCTATATATGAGCGTAAGTATATTATTAATACGATTTTTCAAAATCAAAATACTTTAAGATTGTGTTGTCACAGGAAACCGTTCGTGGTATATTACGAGACGGAATCCGTTAACGGTTCAGCCGTATGCCCGATCTGGCCACACTGGTTCCTCAGATCGTCGCGAGTTCGCGTCCAGACACGACTGTTGCAGAACGTTATGTATTTCGCCTTCTATAATAAAGTTTTCTCTTAGTTATTGTTATCTATGCATATACTTTCGACCACAGTGCATCTCCTATTGCTATCCCATTAACAATAGATTGAAAATGAATAAATTAAAATGAGAGTCCACTCTTTGCCAGTATCGTGCACGCTGCAGCATTCTTCAATAAGAATAGAAGAATAAATAGAAGAATTAATTGTTGCAGAAATTAATCAATAATGACTTTCTTCGATATGTTTCGGGATTACCGTATCAATTTGTTATGACGAACTAAATATTTGATTTGGCTTAACTTTGCATAAAAAAATAATTGTATCAATCTATCAAAATTAATAACGTGCACGTTGATGATAGACAAACTGAACTCTTTCGCCAGGAGTCACGTGATCCCCACCATCAAACTGTTTTCAGAAACAAAGGAAAAGTGATCCCGTTTGCCATTTTAATACAAAGTATGGGTTGATCTTTAAATTTTAAAAGGACATAGTCGAATATTTTTAAAGGTACAAAACATAGCGTTTCATTTTAAAACAGTAACATGAGGTAACAGGTAATGTCGTAAAACTATTTTACCCAGTTATATCCTTTTTTACCTGAAGTATAAGGTAAAAAATACAAGGTACGACTATCCGAAAATCGTTCATATTTTATCAATGTAAATGAAGCGGCCTTTCCATCAGAGATAAATACAAAATTTTGTAATTTCTGTGAAAAGAGAACTTTTATTAGATGTACGTGGTGCTTGAAATTTTTATTTTTTGACTGTTTTTACGAAAAGTATTATGGCGCTGCTTCGCTGCGGATAGGATCTCGTGAGAATCGTAGGAGGCGTGAAAAGGGGGGGGGGGGCGTTTCACCCGGGACTGCTAGTGGACTCATCATCACTAAGCTTAGACGACTGGGATATTGGGAAGTTGTTCGAGGAATGTATACATGTATAGCAACCGAGGGGATCGGTCGAGCGCTTGTGAGAGCGCGATCCTCTGGTGGCGAGCAAATTGGTTAAATAAACATTGGTTAAATTCAACTTCAGAAAAAAAAATATTCGAAGGTCAGACAAAAATATAATGTCACATTCAGCGTACGAATAAAATATGATTGAAAAAATAGATACGAAATAAAATTTTATTTTTATAAAGAAGTATTAATGGATATGTATTATAGAGTAAAAAAGTCAGTTTGAAACGAATTTGTGAATCGTATTGAGTACGACGTTTTAAGTAACTTTCATAAATTCATCGATTAAGCAAACATTCATTGATACTGTTCACATTTCCTTTACTTGCGGCGACGTATTCTTCTTAATCCGACCATTCTTTCTTTTTCTTTAAAATACATAATATTTTTACGATTCAATACATGCAGTATTTGATTTATGCGAAAAACTTTAAAATGAATTGATTGCATACGGCGCAAACTTACTGTATGTATATAAATGAATATAATAATTATGGTACGATATATTAAATGTATTTACTGTAAAAAGAAAGGAAGATTAGTCTCGGTGTAGAAGCAATATAGTACTACAAGTCTGTATATAGAATGTGGGCAGTGTTGAATAAGTTTGTCTTATTAAGGTTGACTATAATATCTGAGTATGACTTGCCTGGAAGATCGTTTTTCTTCGTAATACTACAATTCTTTGAATGAAATTATTACATTGATCTTATTATTTTTTATTACATTATTTTCTTCACACGTCTATGTGTACGTTATCGTTAAGATTGTTTATATATTTTAGAGGGTATGTAAGAACAGTCGTAAGCAATCATATGTCAAAGGATTGGTATTATACTAATTTTGTGTACAATGGGTGACGCATATTCATAGAACACTGTAGTAATACCGAGATACGCTGTGTTTCATGTATATTACATCCGTATTAGCATTCTCGATATTTCAGTAATTGTTGATTAATTTACAATAGTGGGAATTTCATACAACAATATGTTCGCGAAGAAAGAGAAACCAAAACGCCAAACAAGAACTGCTGCTAGCCTTGCACAGGTATTATCTTCTAATGTTTTTAACCTTACTTTCGAATCAATTAGATTTTGTATTAAACATGATATTTTTCCAAAAGTACGGAATCTTCGAGGTTCCAGAAAGTTTAAACGATTTAGGCAATAATTTTATGAAAGATGACGACAATGATGATGATTTAGAAGCTGAATTAGCTGCGTTGACAGCTAGTGATAACGTTGGTCAAAATCCAAGACGCAAAGGTAAAAATTATATTCTTAATACAGGGTATAGCCCTTGAAAAAGTTTCTAGCAAAGATATTGAGAGTCAGGTTAATCAATACATATTAAGTACAAAGATGACAAAATTTCATTCTTTTTTCTCCTTGTCTTTTCATAAGTCATCATTTTCCATCTGCTTGTGTATGTCATTTGGCCACAACTTGTACGTGTACATATGATTTATTGTAACTTCTATCAATTAGATTTTAAATACAATTATATACTTGCTAAATGTTTATTTTAAGATAATACGTTATTTAATAGCACCCCGCAAACCAGTTTCTGATACAAATTTGGATGCAATGGTAGCCGAAAGTATGAGAGATATTCAAGACGAAGATATATCTGATGAAGATGATGATCCAGAATTATTGGTATAAATTATATTACTTGTTTGTTTATATTCATTAATTGGGTAGTTATATTTAACATAACTTCAAACATTTTATATTGCATTAGAGTGAACTTAGGATGATCACAGGCGAAGACTCTTCTGAAAAGGTCTTGCCAGAAAAAGAAGAAAACTTATTAACAAAAAATGCAGATTTGTCTGAAGCAAAGGAAGATGATTTGCCTACAGAAAATATGATAAAACTGTTGCAAGAAAGGTTAAAACTCTATCAAATTGCAGAGAACAAAGCGAAACAAGAAAATGAATTAGGCCGTGCAAGAAGATTTAATAGAGGCATTAAAACACTTAAAGAGTTATTAAATGATGCTCAGTCAGGAAAAACTATTAACGAAGCTGATATTCCACCACAATTATCACCATCGGCTACTACAGAAGTAACAGAAAAAGTATCAGAAATGAACAGAGAAGAATCAACAGGTATTATTCACAGAATAGTTGCTAAACCATTTTTTGAGGATGGCTTTTTATATTCTTTTGTACACTATGTATATGTTTCAGACCATGCTGGTGCTTTGGCAGAAGTTGCAATACCGCCTGCAGAAAACAATACATCATCAGAATTAGTTTCAACGAACGTTATAGGTGAAGAAACATTGAACTTATTGAAGAGTAGACAGCAGGAATACAAAGCAGCAGCATTAGCATGGAAAAGGAATAAAAATATGAAAGAGGCGCTCCATTGTGTAAAAATTATAAAACAGTTTGATGTGATGATTGCTGCGATAAATGCAGGTCAAACAATTGACTTATCAGAAATGCCACCATCTCCAAATACTCCTGGATCTAATACTGCTCTTATAACAGAACCTAAGCAGGTAGAAACGCCATCTGCAGGTAAAGTTTAAGAATAATTTAAGAATTTATTTTATATAGCTTTACTAATATAGATGTTGGTTTTAAAAAACCTGTTAAAGTAAGGCATACGTTGCACTAAATAGTAAGTGAATTTTTATATAAGGTGATTCGCTTGCTACAGGCCCTAATTACTGCTTTATGGTATTTTGACATAGCAGAAACAAGACAGGCTGGGCCAGAAAACATAGAACTTGCTTTGAAAGAACGTCTTGAAGTGTATAGAAGAACAAAGACAGTTGCAGAAACCGAAGGAAATTCTTCTAAAACTCGAAGATATGGTCGTATTTGCAAGCAGTTTGAAGATGCCCTCAAGTTATACGCTTCTGGAAAATCTATTCCTCTTGATGAATTACCTGTTCCACCTGGATTTCCACCACTTGTAACTGTTTCTGCACCGGAAGAACAGACAAGTGAAAAACAACCAGCTCCACAACCTGAACTTTCTGAAGATAAAAATACTTCAAGTCCAAAAAGTCCAGTTGTTCCTTCGGAAATACAAACAAGTATGTAATAAAATTTTAATAGCAGTTAATGTGATCATTATAACATCTTATGGGTGATATATTTTTTATTTTTTTATGAATAGGGAGAAAACAAAATCAAAAAGTGTCACGCGCGGAGAAACAACTATCTTTATTACAACAACGTCAGCATGAATTGAAACAGGCTGCTTTTAATGCAAAAAGAGATGGAGATTTAGAATTAGCAAGGAGTTATTTAAAACAAGCGAAAGGAATAGATCCATTGATTGCAGCTACCATGGGTGGCTTACCAGTTGATATGAATTCTATTCCACTATCTCCTCTTGCAAAAGTAGAGCTCAATGCAAGTGGCCAAGTTGGTGATGATTTTACACTAGTAAATAGCATTGATTGTTTAGAAGAAGCAACGGGAACAGATGAACAGATTTATGAAAATCTCGAGTCTCAGTTAATAAAACAATTTAAAGTACAGTACAGATATAATATACATTTCAAACTGAATTTTTAATATATTATATGTAACAAATGTTTATACAATTTTGTCACAGTGGTGTTTATGTACAAGAGATCATTCGAAAGCATTAGGTGATGTACCTGGATATAACAGATGGGAAAGACTTGCATTAGGTTATAAACGAGATTTGGATATGTTGAGAGTTCGAAAACGTGATCTACTGCCACCACCACAACATCATTATGAGACAAAAACTTATGCTATAGTTCAGTTAGTAACATTTTATGTTTGATTACGAACAAAATTAATGAGATCTTGTATTTGTTATGCTGTTCATTTTTTAGGAGCTGTACAGACTTAGGTGAAGGTGATATAGAAATTTCGATAATAAGGGGAGTCAATTTTTTAAAGGAAGACACGTATGTCATGTTTGAATTCCCTTATCCTTCGGATACTCCTCCGTCAGATAGGACGCCCACCGTCAAAGGAACCTTAAATCCAGAATATCAGTCAGTGTTTCCATTAACTGGAATAATAGATCGTACGTCAAGGCAGTGCCAACGAACATTCAAAAGACATGCATTGAAATGTCAAGTCTGGGCAAAAGGGTAATTATAAAGAATGTGATGTAATCAGAGTTTATTATTAGCCCTTTATAATGTTTTCATAACACATGATTTATTATAATTTTTAGTGTATATATTTTTAAATATTTATTTATATGTTTTCTTTCAATAGCGCATTTGTTGTAAAGTTCTTAGATTTGCAATTATTAAAATAGCTAAATTTTCGATATTAAAGGTAACATCATATTATTTGCTACTTGTAAATAGACCCCTAATGTATACAGGGTGTTCGGCCACCCCTGGGAAAAATTTTAACGGGAGATTCTAGAGGCCAAAATAAGACGAAAATCAAGAATAGCAATTTGTTGATTGAGGCTTCGTTAACAAGTTATTAAAAAATTAAATTAAAAAATTTCAAATCGTTCTAAAGAAATTACTTTTGGTAGCAGGGGTCAATTACAATCATTTTTGGTCGATACAAATACCCTCGAAATCCTACGCATTTTCGAGAAAAAGATTCTTTACCGAAAATATAATGTCTGACTAGGAACATTCTACTGACACTTATTGTCGGAAAAGAATTTTTTCAATTGTTTTTAACAGTTGTTAAAAAAATTATTTTCGGTGCGGGGGTCAATTACAATCATTTTTGGTGAAGACGCATGCCTCCGAAATTCTTCGCACTTTCGAGAAAAAAATTAAGGAAGGTGGACAAATTCTTCGATAAAATTAAAAAATTTCAAATCGTTCTGGGAAAATTGTTTTCGGTTGAGGGGGTCAATTACAATAATTTTTGGTGAATAGACACACCCCCAAAATCCTACGTGCTTTCGAGAAAAAATTCTTTACCGAAAATATACCGTGTGGTCGGAAATGTTTCTATAAGTTTTTAACGAAGCCTCAATCAAAAGAGTATTATCCTTGATTTTCGTCTTATTTTGGCCTCTAGAATCTTCCATTAAAATTTTTTCCAGGTGTAGCCGAACACCCTGTATAGTAAAGAATTGTGTATTAATAATTGAATGTAATATAAATTTACCAACACTAAATAATGTGATTTATGGCAGTATAATACTAAAAAATAGTAAATAGATTAGTACGTTGTTTGCAGATGCTCACTGAATCCTCTCCTGTGTTGCACACATCCAAGGTATGACAATTTCATACTTCTAAAGAGCACTCAATTTTGAAATTTTGTACGAGCCAGAAATAATATGCAGTTATTTTAATTCTTTAAGAGTTATACATTTTTCCTTTTTGTTCTCTTTTTCTCTATTAGTCAGTATATTATTAATTGTGATAATATACAATTGACTGTAATATTGCTTACGTATCTATTAAAATGCTTCATAATGTAGATTGATATGTATGACTTTATCATACTTTTCTATTATACGAGCAAACTGTGACAACGTATTCTTTATTTTATTGTGTTAGACACACACGTGTGCGATTTATTCACTTATTTCTTATAGTATGTATTTTGTTGTTTCTTGCAGAGGATTTTTTAGAAGCGATAGTCTGTTAGGTACAGTAACTGTTAAATTGCAGCCTCTGGAAACTCAGTGCATACTTCATGATTCGTTTCCCGTAAGTAATGTACATTAATTATCAAATGTTGAATTTTAAATACATAGTCACTGTGTTGAAGAGATCTCATATTATTGCAGTTAATGGATGGAAGAAAACGAACAGGTGGAAAGCTTGAGCTAAAAATACGTTTGAGAAATCCGATTCTTACAAAGCAGATAGAACAAAATACGGACAGGTGGTTAATCATTGACCATTGACGTAGCGCTTTTACAATCACGATTTTATATTTAATACCTGGAAAATGTAATTTGCTGATTATGAAACGATAGGAAAAATATTATTTGCCTTATTGGTAGATATTCAATTTGATGTGAATATGTATATTTGTGAAATAATTTGTACATTTTAATGTGAATGTGATTCATGTGCAAATATATGAGTACACATGATATGTGCATAAAATATTTACATATGTGTAATCTAATACACAAATATTACGATATATTACATACAAAATTTTGTTACACAAATGTGATATAGCTTTATATTCCAGCTGATAAGAAAAATGTTTTTTAAAACCCTTAATATATTAAAATCTGTAAGGATATGTGTTGCATTTTACATTATTATTTTTACTTATGATTATTCTTTAATTCGTAAGGGGAACATACGAAATTTATTAGTAACTTTCGAAAGTATCATTTTGTTTTAATTATTTAATGTCTGAATAAAATATATGGAAAAAAATGGTTATAAATACATATAAGTATCCTTCTTAAGATAAAATGAAGATTATTAATATACCTATACGAAATACATGGAGTTCATTTAATATTTCAAGTTTCAAATATTGTGAATGTATATTGTTTACAAGAAAAATGTACGGAAATATAAGAATTAATTAACCTTAAGCATAATTGGAAGTAATTAGTGTGCGTATAAGAGGCTGTCGGTTGTGTGTATCGAGTGATTTAAACACAGGGAAGGAATGATCGCAGAGTGAAGCTGAATCCACATTTCCAGAGAACAATACAGCAAGTGAACCCCACTAACAAACTATTGTCCGGTAATTGTTCAACTCTGTCTCCTTCCAGTTCACCAACCCGCTGTTTCATCCTCACCCACGTATGCCTAACCGCTTGATTCTCAACAGCTATGTAATACTTCTTAAATATACATTTGACAGGATGCACAAGCGAATATTGAATGGAATGCAATAAACATAATTATTGGAACGATTGCACCACGGAAATTCAAACACTGTGATAGTTAAAATAAAAGTTTAAACATTTCTCAGCAATCAAAATATGTTTTTATTTTAATCAATGATGTAACATACGTGTTTCCATTAAATTCTTTTGTTATTTTTAACTACATAAACTGCGGAGGTTATCATTGACTATATATTAAATTTACAGATCGATAAAGTGTTAACCGAAAAATGATTTTCTATTATGTTTATACAAGCCGTGTGTTAGGTACACGTAATTAAATTATAATAAATAATTAATAAAAATAAAACATTGGCCTGATAGAGCAATTTAGAATTGTATATCAATTGAAAGTTAACAGAGACTAGGGATTGTTTTATTAACGTTTTCATTTACCGGTAATTCGATAAAATTTTAAATCAAAACCAGTTTACCGGTACTTTATCGATATTTTTTAAGGTATAAAAATAAATATTACAAACGAAAAAATAGTTTATTGAAACCTATTGAAGAATTATAAAAAATACATGCGAATAAAACTATTTTGAACATAAAATGTGAAATTATATAACACAAAATATATATGCGCATTGTATATTAGCAAACTATAGGTGAGCGACTTTCGTTATCGCGACGTTCGAAAATTACAAATTGCAATAATTCCATTTGAATGAAAAGAAAAGGGAAACGATCTTTCTTGTCTTTCCAGTTGAAACTTCAACTTTGCTGTTGCGAGAGACACTCGTCTTCATCTGAATTATGTTTAATCCTTTGACTACGAAAGGTGTATACAGGGTGTTCGGCCACCCCTGGGAAAAATTTTAACGGGAGATTCTAGAGGCCAAAATAAGACGAAAATCAAGAATACTAATTTGTTAATTGAGGCTTCGTTAAAAAGTTATTAACGTTTATAATTGCGCCTGTAGATAGGCAACCTGCGTACAGCTGCGTGCGCGCGATAGTGGTTCCCACTCGGCATGAGAAATTACTTAGTGATGTATCGACAGCCTTACAGCTGTCTGCAGATTGCCGTTCTGGGTGATTCTACATGCGAAAATAAGTCGTAAAAGAGAAATAAAATTTTTCCGTTTGTAACACCTGGTAACATCCTGTATGCGAAAAACGTATCATATTATCATTATTGAAGTAATGTGCAAGTTACATTCCTTAACTATTTTGTACCTCTATCACGAATCGTACAAGTGTAACTATTATTATTTTTTTCATTTGTGTGAAGAAAATATAAAACACATATATGCACATTATTCATACACTTAATTTATTTAATTATTGGTAAAAGAGGCGAATTACCGGTAATTCTTTAAAGCTATTTTTTTAGATTTACCGACAATCTGATAAACCGATTTATCAGTATTACAATCTCCAACAGAAACGAATACATCGCGATAATTTTTTTCCAATAAAATAATCGTTTAAGCAACATAATATTTTCAAAAATGTATTAATTTAAACATCCACAAGTTCAAACTTAATCAGACCTTGAGATCAGAATATAAAATTTAAACATAAAGTTTCATTGAAAGCCACTCGAACGTTTAGACAGATATACACGCATAAACAAACATTCCTTTTAACAGTCAAAACGTGATCGGAGAGTTTTATACTGATTTTTTATTCATAAAAAAAATCGTTTCGAAATGTTTCACGATTAGAATACTTTATTCCATTATAGGTAAGAAAGTAAAGAAAGCTAACGTTTGTAATTTAAATATTTTTCAGCAAGATTATCAGATTTTATCGCGACAGACCTGGCTTCTGTCGTTTCATCTTCAGAATTCGTCGACCTTTTGTGGTCACATACGCGAGAGCCATCGTGCGGCACAAAAGGCGTGCTAGAGAAGATTGGCATATACATAAAGTAGTTGACACCCACCGTGTCAAATACTGGGCGTCTAGTGGTTCCTAAAAAATGCTCGACCATGTCGCCGTCGATTTTCACCGCGGTGCACAAAAGTCTTTCCCGCGGTGCAAATATCGATCGCGCCATTGGAAAACAATGGGATTTATTTGCCAATTAGACAATTAGGTCGGCTGAAAGGGCGCAGGGAGCGCGAGCAACCGAAACTTCGGCGTAGTAAGTACCGCGAATCTGGATTACACGGTCCACTGCAGAGTATTTGACGAACATATACATACCGCGGTTAATGTTGACCTTTTGGCCTCAGCCAGCGGGTTTCTGCGTGCAAATTAACGATGTTTGTTCTCAACCCTTTGGCCTGCCTTGATTCATCAATCTCATCGCTCTTTCCTCCCTCTGATCAAAACGGGCGCATCGGCTCCTTCATGTATGATTTATTTTTTCGTTCCTTCACTATTCTCGAAACACTGCTTCGTCGTTTTATTTATTCTAAACGAAATTTATGCACGACGAATTTATCATTCGTCGGTGCTTGTCATAACCATGTTATACCGTATTCGATAACTTTAAAGCGTAAGGGTGGTCAAGGTTAAAGAAGCTACACTTTTCTTTTAACTAAAAGCTTTGTTTCTTCGCTCTGACCGACACGCGTGTCTGGCTTGAAGTATTTTTTTTCTAACTAACCTCACCTCACGCTCTCGCTTAGTTTGGCTCTGTCCCGCCTTCCTAAACACTCATTCATTACGTTATTCCTAATAGCTATTAACGACGCCTGCTGTACCACCAAACCTCCTGTTATTACAAGAGTACAGGTAACCGTCCTACAACACGACATCTTATAACACGGTTTCGCTTCAACACGATAACAAAATTGCGAAAAAACTGGAAAACACTTACAGCACTGGATAATATGATTTTTGCTTAAAATATTTAAAAGCTAAATTATCTTAAAATAATGACGCGAAGAAATAATGAACTAGGGTCTTTACATAAAAAATATAAACAAATTATAATTTATTAAATTGAGGTTGCATTAAATTATAATATTTTTTGTTTGTTTTGTGTTATACATACATTTATATTTTTCATAAAAATTAAGTTGCTTATGTAGAATTAAAAAAACATATCTGTTTTTAATAAATTTTCAGAACATAACTCCCCTTTTTTGTACTGGCTCTAGTCCTCATATAACACGGTTTCACACAACACGGTATTTTTTAGGAACCTATCTACCATGTTATAGAAGAGTTACCTGCATTTGCTGACGATATCACCATCCTATGTAAAGGAAAATCCATTAACACCACGCAACAGCTCATTTAACAGGCTCCTAACAAACTCCACAAATGGATTGAAATTTTCAACTGCGAAAACTGAATGCATTGTATTCTCTAAACGCTGGGAAATCCTTCCATCGGTCTTAAAAATTGGCAGAAATCAGCTTCAATTTGTTACCTGTACTAAAATCCTCGGAGCACCCTTTGACTCAAAACCTACATGGAGTAACCATGTACACAATCTCATCAACAGCAGTAAAGAAAGGATGAAAATAATAAAAGCCCTAGTATATAACAACTGGGGAGCGGACAAAACCGTACTCTCACACGCCTATAAAGCAATTGTTCGATCCAAAATAGATTTTGCGTCTATAATATACAACTCAGCCAAAACAGACACTCTTAGAAAATTAGAAACAGTTTACAACACCGGGTTAAGACTAACAACAGGCGCATTCCATACCAGCCCTATTGGAAGCATTTCAATTGAAGCCGGCGTAACGTCCCTGGGGCATAGAAAAAAACTATTAAGCCTAAAATATGCCGTAAGGGCCGCCACATCCACCAACCCAATTATCTACGAAGACTGCTTCTCTAGGAATAAACGAAATACAAACTACCAACTGCACAACTCTCCCCTCCATCACAGAATTCAAATATACCTCGACGAACTTCAATTCAAGCTACCGGCTATGGAAAAAAACAGACTCCATAAAATACATCCCTGGACATTGAGTACACCTACCATCGACTTATCACTCACAAAAGACAAAATGGACGAGCTAAACGTAAAGGAATGGAGATAACTATTCTCCACTCTGTGCAAAACACAAGGAAAGAATCCTGGAACCGGATATGGCAAAACCACAAAGCAAGCTTACTCCATAGATCAATTCAAAACTTCCACGACATTACAACGAATCCCAAATTCAATAGAAAACAGCAAGTAGCACTAATGCGAATCAGAACCGGCCACAGCAAATTGTTACATGCACCCCTCTTGAACAATAGCCTTCCCAGTACCTGCGAAATATGCAACTCACACCTAATCATTGACCACATCATTATCGAATGCAGAAAATATGCGTAAACAGGGAGAGAACTGAACATCACGGCTAACATCACAGAACTATATGCATCGTCATCACACCAAGTGATTTATCACGCAGTG